TGGGGAGGGCGCAATTTATCTTATAGTGAAACATTCACATGAATAGTGTCGTTAGTGAAACTTTGACGAAGATTAGTTATCCACTTTTAAGCTAGAATGCCAAGGAATGAAATCACATCTTCACTTTATTAGGGCCTTTTAAAATATTTCTTTATTCTCTCTTGAAGTGTTTTCTAGCGATGCGTTGATCGTCTCAGATTAAATGGAGCGTAAGGTTATTCATTGACTGGTAACGGTGGTTTGTTCACCAGTGTGTAAATCTTGACTGCGTTAGGACGATATGGTGACTGTAGTGATTTGGCTTACACCTCTACGGTACGAGTTGGAAAAAAAAATACGCTAAAGTTCATCATGTTTAAAAGTTTGACACTGAAGGAAACTATCGACGTTAAACTGACTGCGCAGACGCAGAAGCGACAGTAAATGTGTCTCGACAATTTTAGAAAAGGATTTGTTTTTTTTTACTTGTGTGTCTCCTTTGACATTTCCGGTTTAGTTTGACTTGTTAAAGATATCTCAAGTTTAATATTCATTGTTTTTGTGTCTATACCCACAGCTGTTCAGCACGAACGCGGACCAAGAAATTCGACGATACGAAAACAGATGGCGCTCTATTTGAAGGAAACAACAGGCAGAGACGACGTCACCGCAACAATTCCCTCAAACTTACGTCACGGACCAACATTTATGAATACATTATTAGGAGGTGAATCACCATATATGGGCATCACTGTGAGTACACTAGATTCCCTGCCATCGGTCACAGTAACAGAAACTCCTACACCTATCATCTGCCAACCAATGCCAAAGGTCAGTGTCTGACGTCATGACCCATATAACAATTTCGCTTTTTTCAGTTTTATCACGTTGACATCGAGCCCCTAGATACAAACATATTATCGCTATGTCACGGAACTCCCGAAACACAATACAAATCAAATGGTTTCATGCGACGCCCCTACTCCCCCTGGATGGTGAGCGCGACCTCCACTTGAAAACTTAGTGACACTTTATAAAACAAAGAATTTCATCGACACTCTGAACGAAAACTAAGCGACGCGATTAAATCCCATGATTTCTAGGACTCGTGGATGAAAACATCATAGCTATAAAAACAGATTGTTTTTATCGGACCTCAGTGACGCCATACAAACATGTTCAAAAAAATCATTCGCATATGGCTATAATGTTCTTTTGTTTATTTTTTCAGTATCCATATGAACTAACACCTTCGTACTGTAGTAATCCAGAGGCAATATGTGAAACTGCCGCCAGGTTATTATTTATGAGTGTTAAATGGGCCAAAAATGTCCCAGCATTCCTCAGTCTTCCGTTTAGAGATCAGGTATGTTCTTTTGTCTAGTGTAAAGTTCTTGCATTCTGGGAGACTGTTTAATCGTACGACGTTTGGCACAATTGCCTTGTATTTTAGCACTCATTTGTTATACATTGCTCAGTATAAGTTTATTGCATTCTGGGAAACTTGTGATCACATGATCTTCGGTATAAGTTTATTGCATTCTGGGAAACTTTTGATCACATGATGTTCGGTATAAATTTATTGCATTCTGGGAAACCTTTGATCACATGATGTTCGGTATAATTTATTGCATTCTGGGAAACTTTTGATCACATGATATTCGGTATAATTTATTGCATTCTGGGAAACTTTCTGTAAAATATTCCTACATTCTGGGAGACAGTTGATGTTCGATATAACTTTATCGCATTCTGGGCAGCCTTTGATAACGTGATGTTCGGTATAACTTTATTGAATTTTTAAGTGTTGTGACCAAGAGTTTAAATATAGCGTGCTTGTTTGTATTACAGTTACTTTTACTTGAAGAGGGATGGCGGGAATTATTTGTACTGGGAGCAGCGCAGTGGCAGATGTGTATGGAAATTGGTCCATTGCTAGCCGCTGCAGGTCAGCTACATTTCAGTGAGAATTTATCTTTACTACACCAATCGTTAACTAAGTCCTAATATGCCACCCACCCTAATAGAGGGCAATGTACTGATTGCACATAGCAAACCATTATATTGGAAAGTGGAATCAACCCGTAGAATTGTAGAAATAACTCAATTGAACGGAAATGCAGATTAACCGAAATATTAATTACCAATATTTATTCGTATCCACAGGACTTAGCACAGAACATACAAATCCAGAGAAAATAGTTGCAATTATGAGCGAAATGAGGACATTTCAAGAAATTATCGCAAAATTTAAACAAATGCAGGTAGATGCAACTGAGTACGCATGTCTGAAGGGAATTATCATATTCAAATCAGGTAAGCTTAGTTTTTTGCTTGGTGTAATTTATGGCATTAGCTGATTTACTCAATACAAGCGTTACGCCGGCGCAAGTTTCGCCCGGTTATTAAAAAGACAAAGATCTCATAGCATTGTGTCCACATCAGTGATATAATATAATTGGTATTAATCAGGGCGCTGACACATATTGCGAGCGCCTACAATGGAATAGGGTAAATGTCGATATAGTTGACCATTGTACCCATATGTAGATTATAACTAAAATCCACTTATTCACTTCACTTTACCTCATTGCGAGTGATCGCCAATTGTCTTCACATTAGTTTTAACGCCGGGGTGATAGTGATAGACTGATACTCACCTTCGAGGGATTGTAATGCAACCAATTTAAACCTTTTTACGCCGCGTCTTGACATTCGTATGTGAACATGCTAATAGTATATTTTACTGTATGCATAGAATTCTATTCAGTCTAGATTGCATTATTAATAGACATTTTTTTTAATTGCAGTATTTCCAGACTCGCCGCAAGAGATTCGAGGTGTACGCGACTTTCATGGCGTAGCAACACTCCAAGACCAAGCACAGTTGACTCTTAGCAAATACATTCATACCAAATATCCAACTCAACCGTTTAGATTTGGAAAACTGTTACTGATGTTGCCCCAGTTGAGGGCGATACGACCGAGCACAATAGAGGAACTCTTTTTCCGTAAAACTATCGGCAATATTCCGATTGAACGATTGCTCTGCGATATGTACAAAGCAAATGATTTTTAAATTATATGTTACCGCAGTAATTACTTTTAATTTATTATCATTCATGACAGAAGTTACTTAATATTTTTCAATAACTTGGGGAGACATACTCCCTTGCTCCTATATTTAAACACACAGTTAACTGATTTATTTATAAGGCAATGAGCTTTAAAAAATGATGACAGAAACATTGCTTCCACATTTCGAGTTATTGTTTTTAAGTGTTTTACTTAAAGTATTATTTACATAGTAAATTTGTAACCCGAGTGCATTCCGCTGTGCCTTAAAGAGTTCATGTTGCCTAATATATCAGAAGACTATTGGAATAACGTTATCAGTTTGTTCGTGCTGAAATGTGTATTTTTGTAAATAGTATCGTTACATGGTGTTAATAATCATGGTATTTTTTAAATTATTGAGTACATTTTCTAAGAAAATTGTCTTTTTTTAAACAAACACGAGCAACTTATTTAAAAACAGTTTATTTGACCGTGTATCGTTCGTTGAGTTTGTTGATAACGCATATACCGCCCTCTACCGAATATAGTATATAACACTTGTACGTTGGAGGCGCTATACATATTGTCCATGTCATTATAAATGGCATGAGAGTTGTATTCTCATTCAATACGAAACGAATTTTCAATTTCTATTCTAGTTCGTCGTTATATTGTTTTATATTCCCTCATAGGATGAATCAAGTCAACTGAATCTCATTTTCTAAATAATATTGAACCTAAACATCTGCAGTATTATTATATAACTGGCCGAATATGAACGTTTGAGCGCGGGAGCAGGCGATCATTTTGATCTGACTTTAGAGGAGAAATGTGCTCCTCGCGCAAACACGCGCTTATTCGGACTGTAATATTTTATTACATGCTTATCAGATGATTATACGTAAATTGTTCTCACCAAAAACAATCACACATATCACCGGTAATTTCCAAATCCAGCGAAACGTTTCGCTGTATGGAATTTGTGTGAAAGCGATTATCTCAAAATGAATTATTCTAGACATTCTTTTCTTTGTTTGTATCCTTCTGTCCTATATATTGTTTGTATATTTTTGTCAAAATATAGGCCTACAAGGCATTCTACTATTCCATGTATATCGTCTATTGTTTGTATTTACACATTGTGGAAAGCAACACACGGCCTGTAAAGGGTAATATATTACATACATTCCGCTAATAATATCAAGAGTACTATACCAAGCTATTTCCTGTAATACAAAAATTCTAATTTGGGGTCATAATATTACAAAGCCTAACTTAAAAATTGAAGATAGTAAAAAATCGATAACATTAATGTAAACTATTAATTCACATGGTTACTGATTAGACAATCATATCACGTGGTAACAGATTAAAAGGTTAATTTATATGGATATTGATTAGACTATCATGTCATATAATTATTGATTAGACAATCAAATGACATGGTTACTGATTAATTATCAATTCACATAGATAGTATTTAGACAATCAAATCATTTTATTTTGATTTCTGTTTAAACTATTAATTCATGTGGTTAGTAATTAGAGAATTATTTTGCATGCTTACTGATCATTATATTATAGTTATTCATAAGTCTGTCAATTAATATGTTTAGTGATTATTCTATCAATTAATATGTTTACTGATTAGACTATCAATTTAAATGTTTAATGATTAGACTATCAATTAATATGTTTACTGATTAGACTATCAATTAATATGTTTACTGATTAGACTATCAATTAATATGTTTACTGATTAGACTATCAATTATTATGTTTACTGATTAGACTATCAATTAATATGTTTACTGATTAGACTATCAATTTAAATGTTTAATGATTAGACTATCAATTAATATGTTTACTGATTAGACTATGAATTAATATGTTCACTAATTAGACTATGAATTAACATGTTTACTGATTAGACTATCAATTAATATGTTTACTGATTAGACTATCAATTAATATGTTTACTGATTAGACTATCAATTAATATGTTTACTGATTAGACTATCAATTATTATGTTTACTGATTAGACTATCAATTAATATGTTAACTGATTAGACTATCAATTCATATGTTTACTGATTAGACTATCAATTAATATGTTTACTGATTAGACTATCAATTAATATGTTCACTAATTACACTATCAATTCATATGTTTACTGATTAGACT